ATTGATTGGAATACATTAAAACAAAAACAAAATCATTTTGAAATAAGACAATAATGCTCTTAATCGTTTCTATAGTAAGTACATTTGATTCTTTCAGTTGGATCCCATTCTTTTAGATCACTACTTTATAAATATCTTATTTTCTTAAAGATGCAGTCTTAAAGATCATAGCAATCTCCAAATCATTTGCTTTGAGTAATTTCTCAAATGCCCTGATATGGATATCAGCAGATCCCATTAATTTAAATATATCTAACTTACTCAAATATTGTCACTTGTTTTCTCCTTATTCTTGATTGTACTTGACATAATTGTCCATATGAATTATGATGAGAAACCAACTACTTTCTAAAGATTTCTAAAGAGCACAAAATCATTAGCAATCAGCTTTTTTGTAATTTTTTTTTTGCTTTCCTTAGTAATAATGCTCTATTTCCTTCGACTTGAATGTTAATTTTTTTCATAGTTACAACTCTTATTATAAATAATTTTTGGATCTCAGACTTAAAAACAAACAAAAATCTATTCCTTTATAGTATTCTTTTATCCCAAGGTTTGTCTTTGGCTTAGCTTTGCATGACCTGCTTTTCACTTCTCAGGCCTGTAAGGATCCCTATTAATGTCACTGATATTTCTGTTCTGCACTGAGACACTGACTTGAGGTAATCAAGTAAAGATATTCCCCTTTTCCTTCGTAATTCTTCTCCAAGAGACCCTTCCTGTAAATATTCTGATTTTGAAGCCTGCCGTTTTTGTGGATGGACAAGGGAACCTATTATTCTTACTGTGCTATTTTTTCCCTCTTTGGAATCAATAATGCTATTATCTTGATAGTATTTTTTCCTATGCTATTATGGAATTCATCAGTGAAATTTGAATAAATAAATCATAGCTGTTCCTTATTTCAGATGCTGGAAGAAATGTACTAATGCTTCATTTTAGAGAAAAAGCATCAGAAATTTTCCTGGAATAGCTATTTGCCTACCTTCTCCAAAGTCTCTTTCATATTTCCACTTATTTTCTGATTAACATGTTCTTTCATCTGTAAGAATCACTGTTTTGAGTTTTGATCTCTAAGTACTTGTCACTGTTGAATGGGAATCTCCCTGCATAATCTTCAAGAATTATTCATTTGTGCAACATGTATCTGAGCATGAGTAAATGTTGTGCAAACTGTTTTGAAATGATCCTGCAAAATTATCTCTCTTGCTGTGAAACTTTTTGTTATTTTAATTATCAGACTTGGAAGATTATGCTAAAAGGCATACTACACATTTTGCCATATGGCTTATAAGCTTCCTTAATGTAATAATTCAGATGAATTGCTGCTTAAATGCTCTGCCTCTGGGCTCTCATTTCAGAGGTTGTACTTGTGCTTTAAAAAGTGTACAGGCCATGAAAACTTATGAAACAGTAATAATTAGGAGGCTTTTATATACATTGTAACTTACTTCAGCTAAGTTTCCCTAAACAGCTTCAGCTTGTGACCTCTGAGATGATCAAATTCAAATATTGAATCCTTGGAAAAACAAGGAAATAGACCATGAGCAAGCTGAAATCCAACTGTGATCTTATAATCTCCTAGATTCTAGATCTAATGGTCGCTGATGAAAAACATATTTTAAGTTTTTTTTTTAAAAGTTGGAAGATCTTATATCGTGTTTCTACTGTTACTTCCAGATTCCTATTGCATACTTCTATGAAAAGTTAGAGCATAAGAAGGCCTGAAAAAGTGCATGGGAACGTACAGACCTGAGTGGAGCAGGGAACTCTCTTCCACTAGTAAAAGTTGTGTGTGTGGGGGGAAAATAGGATGTGAGATTTGGATACTGTGGATACTGTCAGTGACAGGGTCATCAATAAAGCTGAGCTGTGAGGAAAAGGGCTGAGAAGTGAGGAAAAGGTAGAAAGGAAGTTCATATTCAGTTGTTCGACCTTCCTTTTGGAAATAGCCAAGTGTAGACGCAGATTTTGGCACACTTGAGAAAATATCATTGCTTTCCCAAGGCAGAAGAAACTGACTGAAAGTCATCCAAGAAGTGTTTCCAGAGGACATAGACAGAGCAAGTAAGACTAGAATTGTATTCATGGGATTCTGGGGGGTTCAAGCTGGTGGTATTCAGGGACCTTAGCATTCTTCCTTGAGTTATCTGGGTATCACGAAAGGGAACCTGAAAACTTTTGCTTTTAATAGAGCCAAAATCTTGCTGAACATGCATATTTTGCTCCCTTTAGCTGAGTTCCTGAATTTCTTAACTTACCCCCGAAATAACCACTTCTCCCCCAAGAGGGCAATGAATGATATGTTGTAGAAAATAAAATGTAGGTGACTTAGATCAGCCAGGGAGAACTGGAACCAGAGTCTGTGCATCAGCTATATTCAAAAAAAAAATGGAAGAATCTGGTATTCTTATTAATGAATGATACTTGAGAACATTCTCATTCCAGTGTCTCAATCAGTTACAAACTTGCCTTCTGATGATGAACCCAACAAAAGATCAGATTGTGGAATTTTATGAATTTAGAATATTTTTCAACTTAATTTAAAATTATTGTAATATTGAATAAACTCTGCTAGCTACAGAACATGAACATGGTTTTCAAATAGAACATGGTTTTCAAGTGTTGTATATACCTGAAACTAACAAGTAGATCTAATCATCTTCTAATACCGCTGACTACAGGATGCATGAGCTGAACATTCAGTCATATGACGAGTCATAAATTGAAGCAGGGGAAGTTCCCACTTGATGTGAGAGGGGAAAAAATAATTACAAGGACAGTCAAGTATTGGAACAGATTGCTGAGAGAGGCTGTGCTGTCTCTGTCTTTGGAGGTTTTCAAGATCCACCTGGACAAAGCCCTGAGAAACCTGGTCTAAATCCAACATTGACCATCCAGGAGGTGAGAATAGATGACTTCCCAATATCCCTTAAAGTCTGAATTGTTCAGTGTTTCTAAGATTAAATATTTTCCTTTGTGCTGAGAAAAATCTTCTTGTTCTGTTTTGTCTCATATAAATACTCCTAAAGTACATAAAACTCAAGATACATCAGTGGTTCCTTCATTCATGCTCGAGGTGAAAGGCAGGCAGTTATTCAAGATGCTGTTATCAGTAAGATAACTTAGTAGCTCTCTAGGATGAAAATGAGTCTTTATTATGCAAACTAAAGAGATGAAATTGGTATTAGGAAGCCACCGTCCTTTATTAGCAAAATTGCAAAGTAATTTTCTTAAATTTGGCAGGGGGGTGAAAAAAAACCTCTCATGTGTAACATATAGGTGGATTTAAAGCTACATGGAACCGTGAAAAGCATTTCCTGGAATTTTTAAAGGGTCGTTTTACGTGATGGAATGGGCTTGATCTTGATTGCCCACAGTCTTTTCCGTTGCAAGAGGAGAATCAAACGAAATAGCCAGCTTGAAAACAAACCAGGGAGAGGTAATTCGTCATACAATGTGCAGGTAAGATGAACAGTTGGGAACAATTTGTCACGGGCTATTTTGGATGATAAATGTTATGTAGGTTGGAAAGGAGATACCCATTAGGAGCTGCCAAATGCCTAGACATAACATGTTTCTCAAGAAGTGTCTGTGTTCATAGCTTCTGGAAGCAAATGCTGGAGGCAGAGGAAGGGAAGCAGGTAGGCAGTTGGCTCTTATACTCCTATCTCTTGTTCTGTATTTGAGACAGAATGCTCAGCTAAGCAGACCTTTGACTTGACCCAGTACAGCTACTATTAGGATCTGGGATCTACAATTAAATATTTATTTAATTTAGTACTCATTAGAAATTGAGAAGCCTATATTAACATAGTGGTCTAGTGGCCAAAGTGGGGCAGTTATAAGCTGGTTTTAATGAGTTCATGCAACTGACAGAGCATGAAAGGCTTTCTCCATGGCATCAAGGTAAATTAATCTTTCCAAAGCAGGAGACTGTTTTCTCTCATCTGCACCGAGCTAAACATGCTGTGACACTAAGCAATTTTTATTTGATGTACTTAACTGTGTGAGAAACTTACTTAGTACAGGTACTTAACACTGCAATAACTCACTTCTGACCACATTACCAGAATAATGCAAAATTGATAGGATTTCAAAGAAAAGTAGCGCCGAAGTTTTAGATTCAAAATTTTGACTTGCGACAGAGTTGGAACATACTCCTGCTCTTTAACTGAGGATAAACTAAAACGTGAATTGCTAGAGGGGGGAAATGTTAGTGTGTGATAGTGTAATATAAGACAGAATTCAAATTTTAGTTGTTAGAAACAGTTGTGCAAGTGCAAGACTCTTTTGGACTTTCAAAAGCAGAAGAAAACCACTGATCTCTTTATGCCAAGCCCATGCACTGAAATCCAACCCCTTTGCAACATTTATTCCTTAGCATGTCCCAGAAAGATGACCATTCTGGGTCTAGCACAGTAGTGACCTCTCCAACAGTGCCAGGGAGGGCCAAGGGTTTACCCAGCCATGTCCCCATGCTCTGAGCAGGCCCTGTTTCCTGCAGCAACTACAGGACCTGCTGCTTAAGGAAGGAAGGTTAGAGCCCTGCTCGGAGGCAGACCAGCCATGGTCCCCACCTTACCTTCCACCCCTGTTCAAGTACATCTCTGGACACAAAGAAGTAAAATGCTCTGACACTCCTGCTTATCATCCATTTTGTCATGGTCTACGGAGTTACAGGAGCTGCTGGGAATCAGACTGCAACAACAGGAGATTCATGTGGGATCTTTATTTAGCAATAACTGGCATTAAGGCTGTGTTTCTTGCCTCTCAAAGCTTGGAAAGGGGTCCTGTCTGAGCTGTGCTTCAGCGTCGGCACCCTCTGCTGCTGTGCGATTCGTGCATACTCCTTTGCAGGCTGGTGCACGGCAGAGCCCTTTCCGAGCGGCAAGCCTGACGCCGTTTCGCCAGCAACTTCGTTCTCCCTCTTGCTCTGGAGTGTGAGACCCCCCTGCTCCCCTTCCCGCCCCGCCAGGAGCCGCGGCCTCGGGGGCGCCATGAGGCGGCGGCGGAGCTGCCAGGCAGGGAGTGGGACACAAAGGCCGGCGCTTCCCGCGTTCCCGCCCCGGGGGTC